CAGAGACCTAGTGTATTTGTTTTCTAGGGAGACTATAACAAAATATGACAGACTGACTGGCTTAAACAACAGAAATTTATTTTCAATGATTCTGGAGGATGGAAGTCCAAGATCAACAGGTCAATCAGTTTGATTTCTCCTGAAGCCTCTCTCCTTGGCTGGCAGATGGCAGCCTTCTTGCTGTGTATTCACATGGTCTCTTCCCTGTGCACCCACATCTCTGGTGTCTTCGTGTGTCCAAACTTCCTCTTCTTATAAGGACACCAGGCAGATTAGATTAGGACTCACCCTAACTTTGCATTTTAACTTAATCACCTCTTTAAAGGCTTTCTCTACAAATATAGTCACATACAGAGTTACAGGGGGTTAAAGCTTCAATATATGAATTTTGGGGGGACAGATTTTATCCAATAACACCTAGTATAGCCAGGAAAAAAGTAGACCTTGAAAAAATATATTTAACAACATAATTTGCAATGGAAAGCAAGGAAAGGAGAGAAAAGAGTGATATGGTTTGTGGTCTCCTGTGTTTCCAGGAAATGCTAAGTATAAGGAGACATATTTATCACCATGTAGGGATCTAGGAATAACATATTTTTAATTAAAAAAAATTTTCTTCAGGAAGTAATTATTTGTGATATAATTTTATGAATAATTTTAAAATATTAATCTAGTTCTGGGTTGTTACAGTAAAGATATCAAAGGAACAAACTCATATGCCACAAAATTCCTGGTGATATAACAGAGTAGTCTTTATTAGGGAAGAGAGAGTCTCTAAACATATGTAGTGGCTCAATTCAGTCTATGCAAATATGAATACAGACGCTCTCTGACAACTAGTGCCACCCCGTCTCCCAACTGAACCATTTCCTGTTTGGAGAAAGATGTGTCACCCCTCTCCAGTGATTCTGCATGGAGCTTGTCACAAAAACTGAACAACGCTGAGGCCCGTGATCTCAACATGATTATTTCTTTAGGAATAAAAGGACAACTTTTTTTTTTTTGAGGAAGATTAGCCCTGGGCTAGCATCTGCCACCAATCCTCCTCTTTTGGCTGAGGAAGAGTGTCCCTGAGCTAACATCTGTGCTCATCTTCCTCTATTTTATATGTGGGTCACCTGCCACAGCATGGCATAGGTCTATGCCCAGGATGTGAACCAGCAAACCCTGGGCTGCCCAAGCACGAGAACTGAACTGCTATGCCACTGGTCTGGCCCAACCAGCACAACTTTTCATAGCATGCTTTGGGCAGTGATAACCACTCTTTGCATTAATATGGAGGATCCCTAATGGAGAGCTGAGCATTCAATAAATTCTTTAGGTTCATCCTCTACTGTTCTGGAGGCTCAAAGTGCTCAGAATCTTTCCACCTCCAGAAAGGCGCTTCCTGCTTGTGTGTAGCTGAGCCATCATCTGTTCTTGTAATGACCAGCACTCATAAGAAAAAAGTTCTATTTCATTCTAACTGTTCTATGATAGTATTTAGAATCACTTCCGTGACAGATGTCCTTCAGCATGAGGATCTCTCCCTGTTCCAGCATTGACATCACAGGAAGAGCAGACTTTCCTCAGCAGTTACCTGGCTCAAATAACAGGCTCTCTGCCTGGGACAGGATCCAGGGCAGGGGAGGTGGAATTGTTACCGAACCTGAAGTGAGTTCACTCACCCGTTGCGCAGCAAGCCAATCTCTGACACCGGGTGTGGTGGAAGAAAGTAGGAATTTTATTTTTGCACAGCGCTGAGCAAGGAGAGAGGGCAGCTAACGCTCAAATGCCAAACTCCCCGAAAAGCTAAAAGGAAGAGTTTTTATTTGGGGTTTTAGGAAGGGGAAGGGGAGCATATGGCCTTGCTGGTTGGAGCTTTTCCACCAGCCTGTCTTTGGCCTTGAGACACTTACAGAGAGGAGGGAGCTTGTGATCTTGCTGGTCCTCAGCTTTCCCACCAGTCTGTATCTCTTTGTGGGAGGAGATAGTCCAGGTGCTTGTCCTTGACGGTGTCTGTCTCCATGGAGGATAGTGGATTCTGGAGCCAGGAAGCCAGAGAGTAAGCAGGGAATTGGTGTTTTGCTTTTAACCCCATATATGCTGGGTTTAATGTCGGGAAACTGATATCAGGGTAGGTATCAGAACTCCTCAGTGACTCATACTAAACAGTCCCTGCTCTCTCTTATTATGTCTAGTGTTCCACGCAAGGCCTCCAGTTTCTCCTGAGACACATCTCAGAAGAGAGTGTCAATGTTTTCATACTTGATTTGGCCCAGGAGGAGATCTCCTTCCATCTGAAGAAACAGGCAGCTGAGGAAGAAGACTCAGACACATACTCCTGTACCATGTGCTATGCTACTGTACTGTACTATGAGTGGCACAATGACAAGAACTGCAGATATAGCTGACACTGCAGGAATATTGCCTGAGGGACATAATAACAAACACAGGTATGTCATGAAGCTTAACAACGATAAAGATCTTGCCATTAGTAGCCATCCTGATTCTCCCTTGAGCTAGATGTATGGCATTGAGCTTTAAGATGCAGCTCAAAGTTGAGAGTGAAGAACCAGGTCAAGGTCATTCTAGGACCACAAGAACTTAGAAGATATGACAAGTATCCCAAAGGTTGATTAAATCAGCGCTCTCCAGTAGGTTGTCAGTTAATCAAAAATAGTAGCAGTTTCCAACTTCAAACTTGAGTGGTCTAGATGGTAAAGTTACCTACATGAGATTCCCCTTCGCTGCAAATGAGTAGTAATGAAATGAGTGTGTTAACTCATAAAAAATAGCTTGACATTTTGTATTCTAATTTCCACTGTCAATTTGTAAGACCTTTGGCAATTCTATTAGTCCCTCTGATTTCTTCATTAATGAAATATAGGTTGAATTAGATGAAATCGATTTCCTTGCAGCCAATGGCTATGTGATTCCATTCACCTCAAACATCTCCTGACCACTGGTTTTATGCTTTTAACTTAAGTGAGGAATACAAGGAAATTAGCCAACCTGAATTTCTACAAAAGATTTTTCTTCTTCTTGCCTAGAATTTTACTCAGTCCCGTAAATATAAAATTTAAAGCTGAAAAGAATAAACAAACATGCCAACTATCAGAAAAAAGAACAGAAATAGCATGAGACACCGTGGCTTTCCTGAGAAATCAAGAGACTACCTGTGTCCATAATGTGCATGTGATGTAGTGTCTACCTGTGTGCATGTGTAGTTACTGTAAAGTAACCGTGATATCAATTTTACAAATGAACAATAATCTTTGTGAAGTTATCAAATGTGTTTTCTATTTACTTGAGATTCTCCTAATAATTTATTCATTTGATATGTAATATGTGTCTTAGATACAAAATAAGGAGATGCAACTGGAAAGAAATAGACATTGTGTCTATCTTCAGGAAGCATGAAATATTATGGAGTACGTCACAAAATAGTGTAATCAAAGCTATTACAGGAGAAAAGAAACTATGACCACGTAACAGAGGGATATACATTGGAAAATGAAAATAACGGATGGCTACCTAAGACACGTGATGTCCAGGCTAGGACTTACAAAAGAATTAGTCAAAAATGGAGGCAGGGAAAGAGTTCTAGAAAAAGAAACAGAATGTGCAAAGGTATAAAGTCAAGATTTAGTTTAGTAGAATGACATTAAATTAATTCAGAATGGCTGGAGCATACAACTCAAAATGGGCAATAGTAATTAGAAACTAAAGCAATAAGCAGACACCACTTTGTGAAAATAATTATAAGCCATTATTAGATGCTTGGACATTATCTTGAAGGTATTGATGAGCGCTAAAAGGCATTTGAGCAAGCAAATCGTACAATGAAATGTTATTTTTGAAATATTATTTTGTTTCCCTATATGAATATATATATATTTAAATATATATCTATAATTGTATACATATTTTCCCTTGATTTTTCTTTTTCTCTTAATTCTGGAGTAATTCTAACACAGTATTTGGTAGGCATTTTCTTCTAGCGAGTAAAAGACGTCTTAGATGTACACTTATTCAAGAAAAGCTAAAATTCACATTTTAATCAACATTTCTCAGCCTGGCCACAGGGGAGCACTATTTTAAAAGTATTCTAAACAGATATACATAATTCTGTATAAATGGCGAACGTGTTGTGAAGACTCTCTGACTGGTTGTCCCCCAAAGTGGCAGTATTTTGGAAACAACTGCACAGGCCTCACTCTGAGCTCAGAGTAACTCCTGCTGAGGAAGCCCATTCAGGAGCTGCCCTGGTCCATTGGATTTTCTGGGGAGCCAAGGGACAGAGACTCTCTTGAAAGTGCTTTCAGGCCCTCTGTTGTGGCACTTGGCATGTGAGTACACAGATCAGTCTGGGAGAGGCTCAGAATGGTGACAGCACCTGAGGGCAGGAACTGCATCTTCTTTCTGTCCTGGGAAGGGCCCTTTTGAGAATCAGACTTAAGAAACATGAGAAATGTTCTGTAATTATGTGTTAATATTTATGTTTTGAGAAAAGAAGGAGTGGAGAAAAATCGCATTACTTTTTATAAAATTGAGCATCTCATGACAGTTTCTCATGTCTTCCAATTGTCTTTCTGTTCAGGTGTGAGAAGCCAAGAAATGGAGCAGTCCTCAGTCCTGGATCATCCAAGAGGGAAAGATGTTACCATCAACCGCAATTTCTCAAAAACGTTATATTCCTTCAACTGATACTGGCAGAAAGATTGTGAAGGTCCTGTCTTCTTGTTGATGTTAATGAAAGATGGTGAGTTTTAGCTTGGTCAATATCTCTTGTCTAAGGCTCTTCATAGACATATAAACTATTTCTCTATTCCTCCAGTAGGTTACATTTTTTCACACACATTATTCTACAAATACCCAGAGTTACAGAGAAATAGATTCTTAGACCCTAAAAAAAGAACTCCTCCATTATTCCCAACACACACACACACTCACACACAAACACTCCACAGTGTGTAGAAGGTGAACTAAGCCACAGGGAGGTGGAGCTTCTCACTACAAAGCTGAGTGACAACACTTAGGAGTGGCTGCTGCTAAATCTGGCTCATGAAACTCATGGGTTACAGAAACAAAATTAGCTACAAATTCAAGATATGATGTATACCAGTATTTAGAGGGACTTGATATCAAGGTGTATCCTTATAGCAAGAGTAAAGGATCATGAAGACACAAGTAGGAGTGTTGCTGGGCCTCCTGTGGATACAAATTTGCTGTGAGTTAAGAACACCCCAGAAGGAACCTGGAGGCATATCACAACTGAATTTGGAAAGGAGCAAGGGAGGAAAGCAGAGATGGAGGCAGAGAGAGAGCACGAGTCTCTTGGGCTGTGTCCTCTACCATGGGGATGGAAGCTAGAGGAACATTTCCTACACTTGGAAACAATTACAGCCATTTTGCAGTGACCCTCACCTGTGCCTCTTTTCTCTTTCTCAACAGGGGTAGGAGCGCAGGTGAAGGTGGAGCAGAGTCCTGGCGTGCTCATCCTCCAGGAGGGGAGCAATTCCTCTCTGATGTGCAATTATTCCACCTCCGTGAGCAGTGTGCAGTGGTTCCAACAAAATCCCGGAGGACCCCTTATAGCTTTATTTTACATGACCTCTAAACCGCAGGAAAAAGGAAGATTAAAATCCACAATCAGTACCAAGGACCGTTACAGCCACCTCTACATCAGAGACTCTCAGCCTGGGGACTCAGCCACTTACTTCTGTGCGGTGGAGCACAGTGCTCTCCTGACACCTGCAGCCTCTACAGAAACCAGAGCTGAAGACCTAACCCAACCCCCAGAGGGAGAGCAGGGGCCCAGTGTAATTAGAATTGTATTCCTATTGTCTTGCATCTCCTGACTTATGCAGAAGGCATTTCTAAACGAGCTACAACTTGACACTACAGTGCAGGCACATACATGGTTCAGCTGGAGATCTCTGTGGGGATAGTTTTACTAGACAAAATCTATAGATTGATCAAGTCTCTCCTATCTAATTCTGTCTTTTTGGACAGGAGTAAGCAGCCAAAGTGTGGAGCCGAGTCCTTGATCTCTCCATCTCTGAGAGCAAGAAAGCACCAATATCACCTGTACTTTCTTTTCTACATCTTTATAGCTTATTCAGTACAGACAGAACCCAGGGAAAGCTCCATGATCCTTTTTTATAATACACTTAAATGAGGAAGAAAATGAGAAAAAAGAAAGTTCCACTATTAGTATGAAAGATTGGCATAACTTTCTGCATACCAGACCAGAGACTCAGCCACCTACCTCTGTGTCGTGGAGGCACATTGCTTCCCAGAAACCTGAAGCCTGAACTCAGGCATGTGGTTGCAGCCCCCAAACCCAACAAGCTAGTGATGGCTCTATGTTTTTACTCACTTCTAACATGGTGTTGAGAAGTGTACGACTGATAAATCAAAGTGATTTCACTTTCAAAATATTTGGAAATACTGATGAGTATTCAATCTAGTAACAATCTCTGTCCTAAACAGAACCATTCCTAATATCCTAATCTCTAAATCAGGGAATTGTTGATTCAGCACCAGTCAATTTTACAAATGAACAATAATCTTTGTGAAGTTACCAAATGTCTTTTCTATTTACTTGAGACTCTTCTAATAATTTATTCGTTTCATACGTAATATGTGTCTTCGATGTAAAAACAGGAGATGCAACTGGAAAGAAATAGACATTGTATCTATCTTCAGGAAGCATGAAATATTATGGAGTACATCAAAATAGTGTAATCAAATCTATTACAGGAGAAAAGAAACTATGACCACGTAACAGAGGGATCTACATTGGAAAGTGAAGGTAATGGATGGCTACCTAAGACACATGATGTCCAGGTTAGGACTTACAAAAGAGTTAGTCAAAAATGGCGGCAGGGAAAGAGTATTCTAGAAAAGGAAACAGAATGTGCAAAGGTATAAAGTCAAGATTTAGTTTAGTAGAATGACATTAAATTAATTCAGAATGGCTGGAGCATACAACTCAAAATGGGCAATAGTAATTAGAAACTAAAGCAATAAGCAGACACCACTTTGTGAAAATAATTATAAGCCATTATTAGATGCTTGGACATTATCTTGAAGGTATTGATGAGCGCTAAAAGGCATTTGAGCAAGCAAATCGTACAATGAAATGTTATTTTTGAAATATTATTTTGTTTCCACATATGAATATATGTACTTAAATATATATATAATTGTATACATATTTTCCCTTGATTTTTCTTTTTCTCTTAATTCTGGAGTAATTCTCTCTCTAACACAGTATTTGGTAGGCCCTTCCTTCTAGTGAGTAAACGACGTCTTAGATGTACACTTATTCAAGAAAAGTTAAAATTCACACGTAAATTTCAGTTTTCAAAACAAGAGCTCATGAAGGAGTAAGGTTGTTTCAGGAACACTTTGATACTTAAGTTAGGGGTAACATTATTGTAGAATCCTCTATTTCCAGGGTTTCTACTTCTTTCAATTCTTAGAGATGCCTGGCTGGACACCACAACAGGCTGAGTGAACCACCCTACTTACTTGTGTTATATTTTCTCTCAATCTTTTATTTCCATGGGATTTTTCCTTAAAATATGTTTATTCATAAGCTTCTATTCACTAGGTATAATTCTGAGGAAGTTTATGAAAAGAGATGTTTCTTATTAATGTTCTTATCTGTCCAAGATTTGTCATAGATGCTAAAACTGTGGTTTCTGGAAGTTTCCATTGCAAGACTGGGGAAGGAAGAGGGTCATTCTGGTTGTCCTCCAGTTTCTTGTAGATACTTTGGAAATACAAAGTAAATCCTGAAAATGGGCCTTAACTCATCTTCATTGTCTCAATGGTGATGAGTGGCCAAAAAAGGGTTATGATGCAGAGTCCTTCAATCCTGAATGTCTAAGAAAAAGAAAAGGTTGTTATCAACTGCAGTTATACAGATGGGGCTTTGAATTCTTTCTCTTGGTACAAGAAGGAAGCAGAGAAAGATTCTACTCTTCTAACAGAAATTTGTTCAAGTGTGCATGGACAACAGGACAGAAGACTCACAGTACTGTTGAATAAAAAGTTCAACAAGTCTCCTTGCATATCACAGCCACCCAACCAGGAGACTCAGCTTTGTACTTCTGTGCAGCAAACACACACCACTCTTGAGGCCCCAGCACAGTGCAGCAGGGGCTCCACTCACATGCTTTGTCCTTGACTGGGTTTTAGGTTAGAATGGTTTGTCATGATGTGCGTGTTTCCAACTGGAAAAGAACACAGAAATCTAATCATTGTGATTATAAAAAATTCCGTTTTCAAAAAGCTCAAGATGAGCTGCTACAATTTGTACTAACTCCAAAATATTCTACAGGAGTAGTGGTGTTTTTATCAGATACGTAAATTGTAAAGATGACTCCATTGGGGTATTTGAGGTTCTGTCATTGAAATCCTACACCTCCCATAATATACCAAGGATATCTAAAACTTTTCTGGATGACAATTTGGTGGCCTTCAAAAAAAAGTTAATTGTTATAAAATTGACACATGCTCATTACGGACACATTTGAAAATATAGAAAATACGATGTAGAAATTAAAATAATTCAAATTTCACATCCAAAGATAATCACTTACTTTATTTTCATTCCATGTTTGTCTTAATTTATATGACTTCATGCTTTCATTCACATGATATGCCTTAATTAATATCAATTTAACAATTAAAAGGTATTTTTCATGTAACATTTATGTCCGTTCTCCTCTGTGGGTCCATCTTCAGAGTATAGGTGCTTGGATATAAAAGGTACAGGTAGGAATCAGAGGAATCCTGTAAAGCCTTTTCTCATTGCAACTGTTCTATTTTCAAAAAGTATTTATGGACTCTCTACGCTGTGCCAGACACTGTTATCAATGCTAAAGATTGAGCAGGATGAACAGAAAGGGATGGAAGCATTTAACGTTGCTCTGCCTCTTACTTCTGATGGATGTCTGCTCACCGGAAATAACCGGGAAAATTTTGATGACAGTGGACACCCTAGGTTCAATGACACTACCCAAGAGTTTTGAGATTTTGCCTAAACATACCATCAATTCCCTCATACCTTTTAGGTCTGTATATACATCACCAACCATATCAACTGTCTCAGTTTTTCCCAATGGTCCTTCAGGAAACGAAAATAATAAGTATTTTAAAGAAACCATTCAAATTAAAGAAAAATAGCTCACCATCTGCTTTATAGGCAAAAAGTAACTAATGTGTATAGAACAGGGCTAAGAGTAGTGAAAATATTTTCAATGCAAATTATTCTAGAATTTTTGAATAGTTAATAAATACACATGGTATAAAAATTATCCAAAGGGAGATATAGTGAAAAGTAACATTCTCCCTCACCTTTATCCCTACTATCCCCAGAAGCCCAGTAAAGCCACTGTTAAAATTAAAATTTTCCTTGAGTCGTTGATCTTTTTTTGTTTAATTGTAAGAGTTCATAATATATTCTGGATACTCGACCTTTAACAGCTATGTTTTGCAAAAATGGTCTCTCCTATTCTGTGTCTTGTCTTTCTCACTGTCTTAATAGTGTCTTTTGAACTTTTTGGTTTTAATAAAGTCCAACTTAACTACTTGTTTAGTTAGTTGGGATTTGATGTATTTTAAAACTATTGCCTTATCCAATGTCACAAAGATTTACATTTGTGTTTTCTTCTAAGAGTTTTAGTATGTACATTGAGTCATTGATCCATTTCAAGTTAATATTTTAATATGCTGGGAAAGAGTGATACAACTTCATTCTTTTGCATATGGGTCACAAGACACTTGGTGCCAGCAACCAAAAGAAAGCTGAGAAACTATACTAAAATCAGATTAAGTAAGCATTCAACCAGGAATTATTACGAGAGGTACTGACCAACACATCAAAACAATTAAGTGCACAACCTACCAGAAAGATAGAACAATTCTATTTTTGCATGCACCTAATGGCATAGCTTTAAAATGTGTCAAACATAAACCAGTATAGTTAATCAGTATAACTAAACTGGTAGAATTTGTTGATTTAAAAACTTAGTAAATAAATATACAACCATAGTAGCAAGCATTAATACAGATCTCTGAGTAAAGATGTAGAGAAAATATGACCAACAAGATCAATAATCTTTACCTAATTCACATACATAGAACAATTTACCCCAAACAACAGGATGCATATCTTTTCAAATACACATGCAGTATTTATCAAAGTCGACTCTCTTCTGGATCTTAAAGCAAGACTTAATCAATTTCAAATGGATTTAAATCATTCAGAATATAGTGTCTGATCACAATGGTATTAAGCGAGAATTCAATAACAAAAAGACAATTAAACTTCATTCCTGTACCTTGCTAGATATAACAGACTTTTTTCAAGTGTATTGCCACAGAAAAAACATAAAGACAAAACAAAGGCTTGGGGTGGGGTGGATGTTCCAGTCTTTGAATAGGGCAGGGTAACATCCCACTTGTGAACTTTACTTCCTGTTTGGGGGCAGAAACTTCTAATAGCCCCACAAACTCCCCACTCAGGCACTCAGAGAAGGGCTGCTCCCTGGGCTTGAGTGAGAAGAAGAAAAATTTCAACCAGGAGAAGAAATTCCATCATGCTCTACCCTGGCCTGCTGTGGGCATTCCTGGCCTCCGTTGGCTTCAGTATGTGTGGCTCTAAACATGGGGCCTCAGCTTCTTCTTAGAGCTCAAGGGCGGGATTATACAATTTGTAGCTGGCTTGGGTATTAAGAGGGAAGAGAGGTAGGAAAATGAAACACTCTGTGATTCTTTTCTTTTTCTTTGTGTCCTAAATGAATCTAGTCCTCATGGCCCATCTGAGACATTTCAAAGGAGGAACCTTGTCTTCTCTTTT